CTTTATTATATATATTCCATCTCTCTGCCCTTGATCTGCCAGTCCTCTTCCCCCATTCTTTCTTTCTCTCTCTCTTTCCTCTCTCTCCCTCTTTTTCTCTTTCTCTCTCTTTCTCTTCCTTTCTCTCCCTTTCCTCCCCCTCTTTTTCCTCTCCTCTCTCTCCCCCCCTTTCTCTCTTTCTCTCCCTCTTTTTCTCTTTCCTCTTTCCCTCTCTCTCTTTGTCTCTCTCTCTCTCCCTTTCTCTCCCCCCCCTTTCCCCCTCTCTCCGATCTTCTCACTTGGCAAGCTGGCTTCAAGCTGTTCTCCAACAAGCTCAGGGGCTCTTTTATGACTCATGGACTTCAACTCCCAGAATTCCTGAGCCAGCATAGCTGGGCTAGCTAGCTCTCTCCTGCCCTTCCTGTTTCCTTGCTTCCTGCAGAGACGCAGCAAAGGCAGGAGTCCCACCCAGTAAGCTTTTCAGCTCCTTGGAGAACACCGTGAGTCCATTCTCTTTTTTACGAACACATACACACAAAGAGAGAGAGAGAAGGGAAGTGCAAGTGCCCCCCTCTCTCTCTCTCTCTCTCTCTCTCTCTCTCTCTCTCTCTCTCTCTCTCTCTCTGCGCAAATGGCGGAGGAGGCTGGGAGCCGTAAGGGAAGGCTCAAAGAGCCACATGTGGTTCCGAAGCCGCAGGTTGCTGACCTGTGACCTAGAGGCATTATTATTATTATTATTATTATAAACATAGAAATGGAAGGTCCTTTCAGCAATACAGTCTGATTACAGGTAGACCTCAATTTATGACAATTGGGATAAGAATTTCCATTACTAAGCCAAGGCATTTATTAAATGAGACACATTCAGTTTGATAACCTTTTCCCCATGATTGTTAAGCAAATCATTGCAGTTCCCAAGTGAATTATGTGATTGTTAAACAAATCTGGCTTCCCCCATTGACTTTGCTTTCTGGAAGCTATTTGAGAAGGTTACAAATTGTGATCACGTGATCCAGGGACATTGCAATGGTCAGAAATTCATGCCGGTTGCCAATCACTCAAATTTTGATCATGTGACTGTGGGGAGCCTTGCAGTGGTTGTAACTGCAAGGACTGGTTGAAAGTCACTTTTTCAGAGCTGTTGTGATTTTGAACAGTTGGCAAATGAAGAGGTGTAAGTCATGGAGTACCTGTAATGCATTTCAGGTCCTTTGCTTACATGCTGAACGTTCTTGTGTATCAACAAAAACAGCCTCCCTGATCTCTCCCATATAACCAAAACACACGCATACCAAACCTTCTAATCATTAATTTCAGAAGGCCGATGGCGATTGTTAAGTGGTTTTATTAGGCTGTGTTAGGCATTATTTGGCAAATGCTAAGACAATAGATAATTGTTCAGTATTGTTTTAGACTAGAGCACTGGAATTTGAGTGTGTGGTTATATCATGGTCTTATCTTTCTCTTTCCATTGTTTATCCTAATCTTCATCTAATACTTTGCACTTCTCCTTAGTCACACCTAGGACCTCAGGCTTCATTAAAGCAGCGTTTCTCCACCTTAGCCATCGTTAAGATGTATTCAACTCCCAGAATACCCCAGCTAGCGTGCCTGCTCTCTCTGTGGCTGAGATGTTCTGGGAGTTGAAGTCTACACATTTTAAAATGGCTACGGTTGTGTGCTAAACAGCCTGATCAGGGAGTAACAACAAGGGACATGGAGAAGAAATATGAGGTCAGTTAGGATGGAGATATGAATGGTATGAACTTATGCACCAGAGACAAATTCCTTCTGTATCCAATCACATTGGTCAAGAAAGAATTTTATTGTTCTGTTCTGTTCTGTCCTGTCCTTGTTCTTTTCTATTTTCTGTTCTGTTCTACTCTACTGCACTCCTATTATTAATAATAATAATGATGATGATAATAATATAATATAATAATAATAATAATAATAATAATAATAATAATAATAATAATAATAATAATAATAATAATAATAATAATAATAATAATAATAGAGTTGGAAGGAACCTTGGAAGTCCAACCCCAATATTCAACAAAAACAGCCTCCCTGATCTCTCCCATATAACCAAAACACACGCATACCAAACCTTCTAATCATTAATTTCAGAAGGCCGATGGCGATTGTTAAGTGGTTTTATTAGGCTGTGTTAGGCATTATTTGGCAAATGCTAAGACAATAGATAATTGTTCAGTATTGTTTTAGACTAGAGCACTGGAATTTGAGTGTGTGGTTATATCATGGTCTTATCTTTCTCTTTCCATTGTTTATCCTAATCTTCATCTAATACTTTGCACTTCTCCTTAGTCACACCTAGGACCTCAGGCTTCATTAAAGCAGCGTTTCTCCACCTTAGCCATCGTTAAGATGTATTCAACTCCCAGAATACCCCAGCTAGCGTGCCTGCTCTCTCTGTGGCTGAGATGTTCTGGGAGTTGAAGTCTACACATTTTAAAATGGCTACGGTTGTGTGCTAAACAGCCTGATCAGGGAGTAACAACAAGGGACATGGAGAAGAAATATGAGGTCAGTTAGGATGGAGATATGAATGGTATGAACTTATGCACCAGAGACAAATTCCTTCTGTATCCAATCACATTGGTCAAGAAAGAATTTTATTGTTCTGTTCTGTTCTGTCCTGTCCTTGTTCTTTTCTATTTTCTGTTCTGTTCTACTCTACTGCACTCCTATTATTAATAATAATAATGATGATGATAATAATATAATATAATAATAATAATAATAATAAATAATAATAATAATAATAATAATAATAATAATAATAATAATAATAATAATAATAATAATAATAATAATAATAGAGTTGGAAGGAACCTTGGAAGTCCAACCCCAATATTCTATTCTAATTCTATCCCTATCCCTATCCCACCAATGTTGTTTCCGCTAATTTGTACTCTATATCTGCATGTCAATACATCCAAAAGAGCATCATTTAAACTTGTGAATTTGAACTGTTTGAACCCTATTAAGGACTAGATATATTTAATAATTTGGGATAAATTATTAGACAGTTCAGAATTTCAAGAATAGCCTCCCTTTTCAGTGTTTGCCTATCAAAGGAGAAGAAATTGCTCCCTCCATGATTTCTGTTCCACCCTGATCAGATGAAGACTAGTCTTCAAGCATTCCCCGTTGGAATAACAGATGCCTTTCTACTTTCAGATTCCTCATTGCTGGGAAGAGCACAAGGGGATTGGCTATTCTTGGACCAGAGAACCCAGAAACAGCCAAGGATCCTTCCTGGGTTATACGATAATGCAGCCTTCTACAGCTTGCTTTAGAAGGAAATCCCAATAGGTGCAACTCATGCCATGATGATCATAGTAGATTTTGTGAAAAAGGACTTTAAAAGTATTATTAAGGCAAAACATTACTTGCATCGTGTCATCCTCAGAGTCTGATACTGCAGTAGTGTCTTTGTTTTGAAAAAGTAAGTGGATTTGAAGTCTGTCATAAGTCCACTAACTGGCCCCACCAATTTTTGTCTTAACTGCAGCAGTTATGAAACAAGTACAAGTCAAGCCATTCCTGACTGTGAATGACAGCTGGTCTTAATTTCAGTTAGATCTCTCTCTCAACCCCCCCCCCCCAAAAAACGCTGCAGTATTTATTTATAAAATTGTAGAATTGTTTTCAATCTATTTTCTTTAAATCATGGTCAGTTAATAAAATATTTTTGAGAACAGCATATAATTGATTTTAATTTTCCTGTTTTGCGTTTCAGTCTTGGGCAAATCAGTGCCTCATCTTAAGAATACCTTGCCTTATGGGGCTGTTATATAAAAGGATTTTAAGTAGCCCTAAATGTAGGAAAGACAGGATTCAGGCATGGGATTTTCTGTATTACAATGAACATGATGCAATTTATTCAGCTTCGGTTTTGTGTCTTGTGTGAGCATCAGTGTACAAGATGGAGCACTGAACATTCTAATTGTGTCCACACTGCTTGTTCTGCAATTCAAGTGTTCCACTTTCTCTGCAGACAGTGAAAAAAATGAATCCTGGACAGACAGAAGTCACTAATATTTAAAAAAAAAAATCCTCATGTGGGAGCCACTTGAATTTCAAAGCGAATCTCACTGCAGCAAAAGAAATATCTGTAAATAGTGACAATTGTTTGCAGCAGTGCTTCTCAACCTTGGCAGTGTTAAGGTGAATGGACTTCAACTTCCAGAATTCCTCAGTTGCTTCAGAATTGGGATCTGGGGAATTGAAGTCTGTATATCTCCAGGCTGCAAAGTTGAGAATCACCGGTTTGTGCTGTGGGAGAAGCCCGGGGCTTATTAGCTTAAGGCCTCCAACAAAAAATATCAGAAAGGGGCATTGGCCCATCTGGCAGAAATCTCTTTCAGCTCTAAAATTGGAGTCAGCAAAACACACGGAGGAACATTGCCAATTTGGAGGGAAAGGCAATGGATGTATAGGTAGTCCTCATTCAGTGGTGTTACAAAGTTACAAAGGTGTTGAAGCAGGGGGATTTACAGTAGGTTCTTGTAATTGCAGCCATCATAGTGATTTAGGAGCTTGGTAATTGGCTTGCAGCCAGCATTCCATGGCACCTTCACTGCTAGTTTATGGCTGTGTTGCTTAGCAACAAGGCTACCAATTCCAATTAACATCATTAAACAAGGATTACTTGTATTGCTTCCTGAAGCAATTCTATCATTAAAGCACTTGTGAAAGTCTACAGGCCTGTAAGTAATTGTTTACTGACTAGGTGGCTTTTAGTCATTCATTTTTGCTAGAGCTGCCTTAGTCCTTGGGGTGAAAAATGATTGCAACAAGCAAGTCTTGAAAGAACAACTTGCCTTGCACACAAACTGTATCCCAAAGTGACTTTACTAAATACCTACGTAAGAGTCTCCAAGCAACAGTGCTCTGAATGATCTGGACGTTTGACAGTCAGTTCATCTTGAGAACAAGGTGGAAAAGTTAAGTGAGGTGAAAGCTTTAGGAGAACGAAGGACATTAAACCGTATGATAATGCAGTATTTATTATGGCTGGATCACATATATGTCTTTCAATATTTATTACATAAAACTATGCTGAGTGTAAACACTATCTGGTAAAAGTGCAAAAGACAAACAGCATCACACTGAGTGCATAGAACAGGTTTTGGACAGATTATTCATAAGGAACACATTGGTAACTGGGTTTTCTTTGTTATGTTAGGCGCTGGAGTGTCCCACTCTGTAGATGAAGCCTAAAAATAACAGGAACAGATAATATGGTGAAGTTTTTGTTTCCCACGTAAAGTGCTGGTACAATAACTTACATGTTACAAAAAGAAGCTGTAACACATATTCTAAAGCATTGTTGATGCACAATGGAGAAAAAAGTTCCACTTAGGGACATCCTGGCGTTGCAGACTCAAGCTTCAGATGCCGTTGGTCTCACCACATGCTCTAGCTGGCCTGAATCGGAAATATCATAGCTGGCCTTGTATTTGGCCAGGATCTTCATCAGAGGACGCAATTTTAGCCACCACTGTTCCTTAGCAATTCGGTGCCTGTGAACCAAAAGGAGAGAGAAATTGTCATTAGAAGTTTCTGTTAGGACATCTATGAGTAGCTGAGGACCCTACCCAAGCTGAAACCAAGAAATTTTATTTATTCATTTGATTTCCATGGGGGCTTATCTTATATGCAATAATCCAGATGGGCTCGAAACAAAGCCAATTAAAACTAATAAGAACCATCCATTCACACAGCACCACATGTGACAATGTTCAGCTGAATGTTTGCTAGCGAGATGGTTTCTTGATAAGTAGAAGATGGCTTACAGAGCAGCAGAGCTAGAAGGGACCTTGGAGGTCTTCTAGACCAGTGGTTCTCAACCTTTCTAATGTCGCGACCCCATAATACAGTTCCCCATGTTGTGGTGACCCCCAACCACTTATACATCACTGGGTGCCAGAGGCTTGGCCAAAGAAAAGGGGGGGGAAATGGCGGACAGCCTTGTTTGGCGATCCCTGTGAAATGGTCATTCGACCCCAAATGGGGTCCCGACCCACAGGTTGAGAACCACTGTTCTAGACCAACCCCCTGCTCAGACAGGAAACCCTATAACAGTGATGGCGAACCTTGTAGAGACCAAGTGCCCAAACTGAAACACAAAACCCACTTATGTATCGTCGGGTGGCCCATTTGGTGGGTGTGGCCCATTGGGTAGGTATGGCTGCGGTGGTAACTGGGTGGGACTAAAAAGTTCAATCAATCAATTCCAACTTCGTGAGATCTTTTTTTTTCCCACAAGAAGCTGAAATTGATTGATTGAACCTTTTTTTTTTCACACAGCGGCAGAAGACTAAAGCGAAAAGGTTTTATAAAACCCAGCTAAAGTGCGTGGCACCTGTGCCATAGGTTTGCCACCTCGGTCCTATAATGACCATTATATGGGAGACTTACTATAGTAAGTAACTTACTTATAGTAGTTTATTACTGTAAAGGGGTTCCAGTGAAACAGTAAATCATGGGTCCCCAAAATCTTCAGCTCATGAAGTTTCAGATTGTTGATTGACTCCCATTTATTATATGGCAATTATTTAATAAATACAGGTAGTCCTTGATTTACCATTCACAATTAGGACCAGAATTTCTTTTGCTAAGCAAGACAGTTGTTACGTGAGTTACGTTCAATTTTATGATCTGTTTTACCATGGTTACTAAGTGATCATTGACCCTGCTTGTGGGAAGCTTGCTGCGGAGGTCACAAGTGATGACCACATGAGTCCAGGATGCTACAACTGTGATAAATACTATCCATTGCCAAGAGCCTAAATTTTGATCACACAACCACATGGGGATGCTGTGACACTCTTTAAGTATAAATCCCAATTGTAAGTCACTTTTCCATGCTGTCGTAACTTTGAATGGTCACTAAACAAATCATAAATTGAAGACTATCTGTACTACTTTAACCAACAGCATTACAAATAAAAATAATGTTGACCCCATGCATCAAAGACATGTATAACAGTCTCACACATAACATTAAGAAGGGCTTATTCCATCCATTCTGTGAATTACAGGTAATCCTTAAGATCACAACTGAGCCCAAAATTTCCATTCCTAAACAAGATATTTGTTAAGTGACTTGCCCCATTTTGTGACCTTTCTTGCCAACGTTATTAAATGAGTCACTTAAGTTAGTAACACAGTTGTTAAATGAATCTGGTTTCCCCATTGATTTTTCTTGTTAGAAGGTCACAAAAGGTGATCAAATAACCCTAGGACAGTGTAACCATCATAAATGTATGCCAGTCTGAACTGCAACTGCAACAGTTATAAGTGTGGCAAACAGGCGTTAAATGGCTTTTTTCAGTGGTGTTGTAAGTTTGAATGGTCCTTCAACGGTTTTAAGTCAAGAATGGACACAGTAAGCCCTTCTTCACGCTCTATGTATGAATCCAGGTCTGTCCTGCTTTCAAGCTAAGGAGAACCCATGGTTTACCCATTAGACTGAGCCAAAAAACTTGATCATTCTGACACTGGCCAAAGTTCTGAGGAAGTCCAAGTGAAGACTTGCATGTAAACAAGAGATGAGGCTTCAAATACATGTTCATGACCATCCACTCAACTTTTTTATCCTCCTGCTTCCCCAGGGATTATCATTTCAAAAGCCTGTTCAACCATTTGTTAGGATGAGTCAGTGTAAACATTATCGTGACAACTGAATGACTTCAGGAACTATCTCTGCAGTGCTTTCTGATATTGCGATTAACATCCTTCAGTGAAGGACAACTCCTAACTCTTCCATACAAACAGCACCGTAAATGAAAAGTGCAGCCTCAGAGAAGCATGAATTAACAAGAATGTTACCGTGAACAGCTTGGGCGGGTAGAAAAAGTAACACACTTTGCTTACACAAAGTTGATGTTGCTGAAAAACATCCCCAAACTCAATCTAGAAGCCATCTGTGCTATAGGGAAATCTGCGCAAGATATATCTCAACTGATCTGCCATGGGTACTTCATATGGAAATTTGAACTACTTTATGGTACGTACAGCAGTCTTTGAAATCAACTGAGGAATAATGCTGTTGAATATATGCTATTTTGTCCTCTTTTCCACCTCTATGTCCTTTCTTAACTCAGACCTGCAGACACAAAGGATTTTAATCTTGCTAACTGGGCATTAAAGATCCTGGTGGGGCATCAGATCTGGGCTGGCTGTTTTACAGTCATACAGAGATCTTTGACCTACACAAAGTCTGTTTCATCCTGTAACTTGATCACCGGCTGGAAGTCCAGGTTTCTCTTACGCATTCCTAGAAGGCACACAGTTTCTGGAGTATTGGCAAACACCTTTCCTATGGAGGGGAAAAAAATAGTTTTAACCACAAGAAGTGTAACAAAATAGTGCATATTAACTGGAAAAGACTACATAGGGAGGGGGAAAGGGTTAAGAGAATTCCTCTCAGTGTGTTTAATCTAGGTTAGTTATTAAAGTAGTATATGGGAATTATGAAAACTTGGTAATTAAGATGACCCAAAAAATGGTGGTGATAATTAATAATGAATGAATGTCCAACATTAGTATTTTTTTTTTTTTTTTAAAACATAACTTTTTCAGCACATGTTACCTTCTTCTGTGTTCCATGAAGCCATTGGAAGCAGGGAAAAACAAGAAAGAATATTTGTGACTAAATAAATGTAGTTGCCTGTTATTTATATAACACAAACTCAGGAACCTAAAACCTGGGGAGAAGGAGAGTCCTGGACAATGAGCATCTTGGTGTCACAAAACTGAGGACTTTGGAAGGACAGTAATTTTCATTCTACTCTTAAAGCTGGAGCAGAGTTCTCCAGCATTGCACATGACGGAAGGTAGGCATAAGTGATGGTTGCAAGGTGTATTTTTATATATACATAAGCAAATGTTAAGGTTCTGGCTCAAACAGCAAACTCGCAGAACAGAAACTCAGATCAACCAATAAGCATGCAGGGCGAGCACCGCCACAAAATGCATGTGGTTGGGATCTTTGAGCTGTTTATGTTGGCTTGTCTGTAGCCCTCTGCAGCCTCTGCTTACCTGTCAACCTTTTCACAGCATAGGTATGTGTTGATGGGTATTGGCAGTTATGGACAACTCTAAATGAGCCTTAACTCAGGATTATGGGGGTGAAGGAAGGGGTACTTTGTATGCCACCTTGAGCTCCTGAATGGAAAGCAGGACATAAATCTAACAAACAAATGCATAATTTTATGGAATTCCATAACATTTTATAGGATTAAAAACTACAAATACATAAAAAAGGCATTCTATAGGCTAATATTTTTAAAACTTGGCAAATTAAAGATATATGTAAAAAAGATGTTGAAACTCTAGAAAAAAATGCAGAGAAAAACAACAAAGATGATCAGGGGACTGGAAGCCAAAACATATAAAGAACGGCTGCTGGAATTGGATATGTCTAGTTTAATGAAGAGAAGGACGAGGGGTGACATGATAGCAGTGTTCCAATATCTCAGGGGTTGCCACAAGGAAGAGAGACTCAAGCTATTCTCCAAAGCACCTGAAGGCAGGACAAGAAGCAATGGATGGAAACTAACCAAAGAGAGAAGAAACCTAGAACTAAGGAGAAATTTCTTGACAGTCAGAACAATCAGCTAGTGCACCGGTTTCAAACTCAATCACATCATGTACATATCGTGATGTATCACAATGTTGTTTTTTTCCTTTGTGGAGCTGGGGTGGGTGTGGCCAGTGCGTAACACATCCAGCGCACAGACCACCAATTTGATACCCCTGAGCTAGTAGAACAGCTTTCTTTCAGAAGTTGTGGGTGTTCCATCACTGGAGGCTTTTGGGAAGAGATTGGACAACCATTTGTGTGAAATGGTATAGGGCTTCCTGGTCTGAGAGGGGGTTTGACTAGAAGACCTCCAAGGTCCCTTCCAACTCTGTTATTTTGTTAAGCATGCTACTGGAAGTTGAAGTCCACATATCTTAAAGTTGCCAAGCCTGAAAAACACTGCTCTATAGAATGACAGAAGTCATTCAGAAGACTTCTGGTGTACATGAAAAGGCTTTGTGTGGTAGACTTCTATTTTTTGAAGGCCAGTCTTCAGATTATCACTCCTCAGTTACACAAAGAAATATATAGTTCCTTTTTTAATTTTAAAATCTCTCAGCTGAAAAAATATCCTATACTAAGGAAGTCAGTAAGGAAATAAATCTTTGGTGCAGGCACAGCAGCTTTCCAGATCTGCTGGCTAACTAATTCCATCACTCCACTCATCATAGTTGTTGACCGTATCAGGTCTTGTCATGAGAGATTAGCACTGGGTTGCAAAAGTTGATCCAGACTATTAACTACAAAACCCAACACTCTTGCAAGCAACAGCAACCTTGAGTTCACCTATATAAAATATGCAGCCTGTTTATTAAGTGTTTAGGTGAAGATCAGTCAAGCAAAAGTTGAAGACAATTAATCCTCCTCTTATTCCTATCTCCCCACTGCCCAGGATTCTTGCTAGGAGGGCTGACTTGGATTTCCTGAAATAATGAAAGGTTAGCTAACTGAATGCTATACCACTCAAACACAATTTAACTCATTTGAGGCTGCTTAAAAGAAGCATATTTTGAGGCTTTGGCCCAGGGGTCTTCAAACCTGGCCCTTTTATGACTTGTGGACTTCAACTCCCAGAATTCCTCAGCCATCGTGCTTTAGCCCTTGTACATGGAAGCAAGCAACTACTCATAATGTACTCTGAAGACTGAATTATCCCTTACATTTTCAACAGCATTATAAAGAAACCCCTATACTGTGCACAAGTGAATGTGTTTGCATTCATAGGTACATATGCATAGTTAAAATTCCTAATTCTATAGAACTAGAGTTGAATACTAACTATTAGAAATGTGAGAAACGTTCTATGCATAAAATAGGTGTTCTATGCCCAAACCAGAAATTTGGTCGATAAATAAAACGGAATAGAGAGAATGGTGTTCTGTACCAATGCTGAGGAGAGGCATGGGAAGAAGGGAATGGGAAGATAGAGGCAAATGATCCAGTGCTGGGACATCAGCAGAGATGACTGAAGGGAAGACCAAACCCAGATCAGAGCCAGATGAGTCAACTCATAAAAGGAAGATGGCAGAGAAGAGTGATGACAAAGTTGCCCATTCTGGGTTCTTTTTATTTTGATGCAAACCCAGAATAATATCCTGTGTTTTTTTTGTTTCTGCTAAATTTTAGCCAACCTGAAAAGATCTAACAGAACTTCTAGAATGGGACAGTCTGCTTTGGATTTGGAATAAAGTATCTTATCTTTTTTCATGGACGTTTCTACTAGATACTATGACATAACAATAGAAAAGAATATTTTTGTAGCTCAGGGTTGAATTGAGGTGGTCTTTGGTGCTCTCTCTGAGCTTGGTTGTTTTCCTGCAGAGGTTGTCTTATCAGTGAAATGGGTGGAATATAAATTTAATAATAAAACAATTTTATAAAATCATTTAATTTCCAACCATGATCCCCCTGTTTCCCAGGTCTAGTGGCAATTTGCAACTGGTTCACTACTCCATGACATGAAATGCATCTAATATTTCCTTACCTCTTCGGTAGCTTTGTTTCAGTTGCTTTGAGATCCACAGCACAGCTTTTGCTGCTATTTTTGTCCCAAAGTTTCTATCAAATGGAGAAGGAGCACCACCCTGTGAAAATCAACACAATTTAACAATGAAGTTGCCTTTCAGATTTTTTTAGAAGGGCAGGGTAGGGAAAATGATGATGAGGTGTTTATGAGTTAAAAATATGTACAACTGTAGAAAAAGAATCACGTTCATTCATAGTTGTCAAACTCAAGAATAGCTGGCAGCACCTTTTCAGACTAACTAATTTTATATGCCTCGCTTCATCCGTTGCAACAGAGTGGATAGACTGATCCCAATTTAAATCCTACATCAGGTGTAGCTACTCCATCACATCTGATAAAGAGAGCTTAGCAACTAAATTGGAGCCAGAATTTCATTTGCTAAACAAGGCAGGTTGTTAAAGCTGAGCAAGGCGGTTGTTAAGTGAGACATGACCAATTTTGTGAGTTTTTGCTATAGTTACTAAACAAATAATTGTAGTTGTTAAATGAATCATGTGATAATTAAGCAAATCTGATTTTTCCTATTAACATTGCTTGTCAGAAGTTGGTAGGGAAGATCATACCGTGTTTCCCCCAAAATAAGTCTGGGTATGTATTCCTTCCTTCCTTCCTTCCTTCCTTCCTTCCTTCCTTCCTTCCTTCCTTTATTTGTCTGCAAAAGAGGCACCCAGTCTGATTTTTTTTTGGGGGGGGGGTGTCTTTTATACTCACCTCCGCTACCAACAGCTCTGCCCAGCCGGTCCACTTCTTCTGGGACAGAAGGAGTAGCTTCATTCTGCAGCTGCATTTTGTCCTGCATTTTGCAGTCAGGACTTTCTGGAAGGCCTCTGCAGCCGAGTACCAAGCTACTGATTGAATCCACAGCTTGGTTCTCGGCTGCAGTGGCCTTCCGGAAAGGCCTGTGACTAAGAAATGCAGATCTGGCTGCAGAAGACGCCGCAGAAGAAGAGCCAGGTCAGCGAAGAGAGGCCTGGCTGCAAGATAAGTGGGTGCAGGGCGTGTGGGGCAACTCCACCCCCTACCCCTGCCCTAGCTTGATTTTTAGGTGTGTGCCTTGCCCCAAAACTGAGATTTATTTTGGGGATAGGGCTTATATTAGGCCCACCCCCCAAAATAAAGCTAGGGCTTATTTTCAGGCTAGGCCTTACTTTTGGAGAAACGTGGTAGATGGTGATTATACAAGGGCAATTCAGAAATAAACCTCCATTTGGTTATCGATGACAGACACTCGCAGATAGAGAACTTTTATTATACACATTAGAAAACTGCAATATTACATTACTTTTCGACATAATCACCATTCAAATTGAGACACTTGTCATAACATCTTACAAGGTTTGAAATTCCTTAGTAGCAGTTGCTTGGTGCCAAATCAGGGCTATTGGAGGGAGGGGGGTGATAAAAAACATCCCAAGGAACTACTTCAAAAGTTCTTGGGTGCATCTAGCAGTGTGTGGACGAGCATTATCGTGAATCAACACCACACAGGAAGTGGTGCCATAGAAAATCCTGCCAAATGTGAAGATGCCAAAGGAATACTGCTAGTGAAGTTCATGGGGTGTGGGCCGACCATCAATTTAGACGTCTGCTGTGAAACATTACGAAAACTCAGACGAGCCATCCATAACAAGCGTTGGGGCATGCTGACTTCCGGTGTGTTGGTTCACAATAATTCTTGTCCGCAAACCACTAGACGCACCCAAGAAATTTTGAAGCAGTTCCATTGGGATGTTTTTGATCACACACACACACACCCATAACCCTGATTTGATGCCGAGCAACTACTAAGGAAATTCAAACGTAAGACATTATAACAAGTGCCTCAATTTGAATGGCGAATATGTCAAAAAGTAATGCAATGTTGTAGTTTTCTAATATATAGTTCTGTATCTGCAAGTATCTGTCATTGTAACCAAATGGAGGTTTATTTCCAAACTGCCCTCGTATGACCCCAGGACTCTGTAACTGTTGTAAAAACATGCTAGTTATCTTATGATCATGGGGATGCTGCAATGGTTATATAACTGCAAAATATGCAGTATATAAATTTGTCAGAGATGATAGACGGATAGATGGATAGACAGATGGATGGATGGATGGATGGATGGATAGGTAGGTAGGTAGGTGGGTAGGTAGGTAGGTAGGTAGAAGATGGACAGACAGAGATTAGATAGATGGATGGACTGATATTAAAATGATTGATGATAGATTTACACACACACCACATACACAAACACACACAGAGAAAGAGAAGTGTGAGAGCTGGTTATAAATCATTTTTGTAAGTTTGAGCAGTTGCTAAACAAATGGCTATAAGTTAGGACTATTTGTAGTTTAAGAACTTTTTGTTGGTAAATATAATGAGTTAATATATGAAGGTCCTGCAAGACTCTTTCCGATTTTAGACTTGCACAAGATTCATTATCTCACATTTAGGCACAGAATGAGGCATAGCCAGTGCATGCCTATTTTCCACCAGGGGATGATGCATTTGCGTTCTTTATTCTTCATTCCAATTTAGTGCCCACCTCCTCCCCCCCCCAACAATCCTGAAAAGTTCAATTCCTACAATTCCCAGCAGCACTGGCTGTTTGGGGATCAGTAGCAATAGTACTTAAGATTTATATACCGCTTCATAGTGCTTTATAGTCCTCTCTAAGCATTTTACAATGTCAGCATATTGCCCCCAACAATATGCTGAGTCCTTGAAAGGATGGAAAGCTGGTTGTGGGCAGAGTTAGCCTGTAATACTGCATTCTAACCACTGCACCATCACGGCTCTTTCAAAGAGGGGCTTTACTAGTGTTTTAACTGTTAATGTCTTTTCCACAGTTTGTTAGCCACCCTGATTACTAGTGCTAGATCTGAAGGGACATAATCAAATTAGTCAATCAACACATACAGCCTACAGAAGTATGCTACTTCAGTAAAAATCATGATCAGATAATCATTGTGGCTTTATGGGTCATAGAATATTTACCATGCGTACACTGATAATTTTCATTTCTTCTTATTTATTTTCTTAATAAATATTTGCATCTGGTCTCTTATCCCAGGAGCTACATTCATTTGGTTTTTTTCTGTCAGCTGGGACTTGAATTAGACTTCAATAAAGTCACAAAAGCTTTGTAGAATGGCTTCTATTCAATGATGAAATCTTTACCCCTGCTTAACAACTGCTACTCAAAAAAGGACTGAAATTACTGGAGGAGATTAAACTTCCCTAATGCTAACTTAAGCAGCAACAACTAACAGCCTTTTGCAGAGTGGAAGTGGACACTCTGCTTGCTGCTAGAGATATAGAAACCCAACTGTCACAAGTGTGATGGATCGCTGCTTTTATATATGGTTCCAACCTATTAGGGGCATTAGTACTGCTTTGTTGTTGGGTTAAAAGAAGCATTCCAACCCTCTTGCCCCCACCTGGAGTACTTAGCCATTCTCACCTGCTGCATATGACCCAGCACATTCTTTCGACAATCAAAGACCCCTTTGCCTTCTTCCGAATAGAGCTGATAAATGAAGTCAGTTGTGTAGTTCTCGCTACTATTTTCATTCCTGTGTGATCCCCAAAAAGCATGGCTTATTTATTTGATACAATTTTTTCTATATTGCTGTATTTCTGTAAAAGTACTTGGGAAGGTGAAATGGGATTTCCGGTTAGGTTTCTGTAATGGTATGTGAGAAAGACCTTGAGAGACAGGACGGTCAGACAAGAGATCTGCAAAATGGGCAGAGAAAGAGAAAGGATCTTCCCTCAAGTTGTAAAGCAGGTGGTGGAAGGTTTGTATTTTCAAACTTGCAAAAATCAGTTAAGGTAATAAAGCTGTCGGCCTTATTATGAAGTACAGTTAGCTCACTTGGTCTTATCACCTGTCTAGTCTACCTATGAAGGCTGACATCAATGTTGCAAGTCTGAAATTATAATTCCCCCACACCCAGTCCCAGCAGCTTGGAAGGGTTCTCTCTGAGCCTCTATTTCCAACTATTATGCAGCTGAGGGTTATGCCCTCTCTTATTTGACAATCCTTTAGGCAGCAATATTTGCCTCATCTCTTACATGCCATTACCGTTTCCCATTCAAACAATGCCCCTATAGAGACCTGCCTAGCTTTAAAGAGCAAAACAACAGAGCAAGTGTCAATTTTCAAGGTAATCACTCTTCAGATATATAATTGATTCCGATGCATTCAGATATTTTCATTTTCTACACCTACTTCTCTTCAAGAGATAAGTTTATCTCTTTGCAAATAAAAAGATTGGCCACAAAATGAGCATGAGTCAAAGCAAAAACACCCAACCTAGCATCAGCTCCTGATCAATCTGGGCTATTGCCAAAGGAGCACAGGGGTCAACCCTTGTGATTGAAAGAGGTCAATCTGCCCACCCTGCCAACTTGTTTTTTTACACTGTATACCACATACCATTGAACCAGTTCAGGAAATATCCAGAATTACATCTAAAATAGTGTTTCTCAACTTTAGCTGCCTTACGATGAGTGGTCTTCAACTCCCAGAATTCGAATACATCTTAAAGTCCACATTTTCTGGGAGTTGAAATACACCCATGTTAAATTCTGGGGACTGAAGTCCACACATCTTAAAGCTAAGGTTGAGAAAAACTGTTCTGAAATAAAGGGAATCAAGAAAAGAGAGAGAGAGAGATCTTACCTCCAACTGTTATACATGTCAGTACTTCGGCTTCAGGGATCTGATGCTAAGGAATGGGATTTGGATTCAGAGTAAGTTCTGTCTACCTGAAGTGGAATTACCAAATGATCCAATCCAGATATTGTCTCCTTTGCCAGCCAGGAAACATTGAAGCATCATTTATGTAGACCTAACTAATTCTAGATCATGAGCGTGCAACTTTTCTGGAGCAAAAGGTGGACTTCGATTTTGATGAATTGCACTTCAAAAATAATGGGTTGGGCCAAGACAAAAACTAAACCTGCATACAGGTAATTTTCGACTTATGACCACAGTTGAACCCAAACTTTCCATTGCCAAACAAGACAGTTGTTTGTGTGAGCTTTGCCCCATTTTACAACCTATCACCACAGTTGTTAAGTGAATCACTGCAGTTGATAAGTTAATAACATGGTGGTTAAATGAATCTGGCTTCCTCATTGACTTTGCTTGTCAAAAAGTGATCCCATGAGCTAGGACACTGCAACCATCATAAATACATGCCATTGCCAAGCATTCAAATTTTGATCACGTGACCATGGGGACGCTGCAATGGTCCTAAATATGAAAATGATCAAAAGTCACTTTTTTACCTCCTTTATTATGAAGCCACAGGCTAAGCCTGAGCTTTTTGAGTGTTTTTAGAAGACAATCTATTCCTTCATATTGGAAAAGCATTTGCCTCTTTCCCTCCTTTTCCTGCAACATGTCAGATAACGCTTTCACAGGACCTCAAAGTTATGCCTATGAATGTTCACTTACCTGAGTACCAAACCTCTCTGGATGTTGGTTTTCATCTTTTGGGTGAGATGTTCCACATTGGCCTACAAAATAAACACCATTTTTTTTTTTTTTTTTTTTTTTTGCAAACTGAAAAAAGCATCATGTCTTTCTTTTGAACACAAAGAAGGAATAATCATCCTGTTCACAAGAAGGAATAATCTTCCTGTTCACTTTTTTTTATCTTTAACTGGCTGTACATTTAATCTCTCCAAAATTTTATAGGCTCTCCAAACAATATTGAAGGAGTAAATGAGAAACTTCAATTTTCAGTTCCTGGATCAGCTAGAGATCTAATTCTAAGGAATGTTTGACTGCAGATTGTTCTTATGAACTATCAATACTACTTTGAGTTCTATTTAACAGCCATACATATTATAAGAAATTCTGGTGGAGGAGGAGGGGGAGGAGGAGGGAGGGAGGGAGGGAGGATATGGTGGTGGTAGTCGTGATTACAGGGATAATCTGACTTCTGGCCAGTTCTGCTGCTCCATAAACTCTTACATAATAAAACAACTATGATCTCTAGGAGCTATAAATAAGCCACCACTAACATATGCCAAATACTGCAGGGAGATACCTAATACATTTGTTATAGTTATGCCACCACACAAATAATACATCCTGAAAAGCCTGCAGGCATAGACAAGGCACCTAAATAAACTGGCTATCACTGCTCTCCTTATCAGACACTCATACAGGCAAGGGATTTGGAGAACCTTAGGTGTGTTGGATAGGTGTGTGAAAGAGAAGAATCTTGCAAATCTGAAAGTCCATTTCTTTCCTGGTCTTATTTACAACTCGAGAAACTTGAAAAGGTCTCATCTGAGCCTCTTGCTACACCCACCAGCTGCAGATTAAGCTGTCTTTAATCTGACCACTGTCTCAATTGTGTCTTGCTGTCCTGCCTCCCAAGGTTTTTCTCACATACTTTCACAAACATTTAAAACCAGCGTTTCAACTTGGCCCCAGGAAGGAACTAAATTAATAAAATACTGGCGTACTTATCCTCACTAGTCCCGATGAAGTACAGGTAGTTATCCACTTAATGGCCACAACTGAGCCCAAAATTTCTGTTTCTGAGAGACAGATGTTTTGCCCCATTTTACAAATGTTCTTAACACAGTTGTTAAGTGAACCACTATGGCTATTAAGTTAGTAACATGACTGTTAAGCAATAGTGGGATTCAAATATGTGAACCACCAATGCTCTGTATGGATGCCGCTTCCGGAAGTCCATTCTGGGCCTGGGCAACAAAAATTAGCTACCAGTTCTACCAAAGTGGTGCGAACCAGCTGAATCCCACCACTGCTAAGTGAATCTGGCTTCCCCATTAATTTTGCTTACATGACCCGGGACTACTGCAACTGTCATAAACGTAAGCCAGTTGCCAAGTGTCCGAATTTTGATCATGTGACCACGTGGATGTGGCAATGGATGTAAGTATGAAAAATGTCCATAACTAAACTTTTTTTTCAGTGCCATTGTAAATTTGAGTGGCCAGTGAATGAATAGTTGTAAGTCGAGGACTACCTAATTCTGGACCAATGAGAATTCATATACCAGTGGTGGTGAACCTATGGCACACATGCCAGAGGTGGCACATGGAGCCCTCTCTGTGGGCACATGAACTGTCGCCCCAGCCCCGCCTCTTCCCACGGCCCCCTCCTCATCAACAGCCCCTCCAGAGGAGTCGCCCCCGGGTGCAGCCCACCCGAAGCAGCACAGCCAAGGACATGGTAGCTGGGCAATGGGGACAAGACTCTGCCCTTGCGCCCCATCGCACGCAGATGATGCTGTGGAGTGCGGGCAGAAGGCATGGCCACCATCGCACTGCTGCTGGGCTGCCTGGGCGATCTGCGGTGGTGGGTGGAGGTGGTGGGTGGCCCAGCAGGAAGGGGGTAGGGGAAATGGATTTGGGGCACTCGATCTCTAAAAGGTTCCCCATCACTGTCATATACCATTTAAAAAGATCATCTGAATAGTAGTCATAGTAGTAGTCATCAACACTTTCACTTGATGGGTATCCTATGTCTTATAGATGAAAGTCAGCTCCAATATAACCAAAGAGGTAGATCTTGTGGATTAATGTAACTATCAACATCCAAATAATAATACACTATAGAGTAGTACGTGAAAGTATCAATCAGCCCAACAATGTGGAATAAGACGATGATGGAGGAATTGCCTACCTGTAGCTCCCGAATGTCAAATTTTTCTTCAAAAATATAAGCAGCATCTGCACCTGCAGCCAAAGCCCCCATGTTAGCCAAGTAGCCACAGTAGCCTCCCATGGTCTCAATGATGAACACGCGTCGTTTCGTCCCACTTGCCGATAGCTTGATTCGGTCACAGGTCTATCGAAGAAAAATCTGTTAGTGACCGACACAAAAACATGCCTGTCGTCTTTGAAAGTGTCATCTAGGCCAAATGGAATTCCACTTGTGGACATGTTATAAAAGCATAAAAAGCAAACATTATTTTAAAAGTGCTTAACTTTCGTTTCCTGGCCTTTTAGATTCCAACTACATTTTTTTAACCATAATGTTAACTATGAAATTCTTGGCACAAAGTGAGTTTTTTTTTAAAGATAAAGAAACCAACTAAATGATCACATTCTGATCATTTTTCTAAGACAGCTAGAAGAAAATAATCTTGTGCTCTAATGTATTTTTCTAAAACAGCTAGAAGAAAATAATCTTGTGCTCTAAGATTAATCACATTCTGTAAAACAGAAACAAACAAGCCACTGAAATATTCAAAAGGGATGAAACTGCAGCAATGCTGGCTCTATCCCAACCTCTAAAAGGCATCCCAAACAAACAAAACAAAAATATGTTGAGAGCTTCTGGATAATGCTTAGGGACAAAGGTCTTTAATAGCTCAATGTGGGAGTCCTGCATTTCATCCTTGGAAATTGCTGCACTCTTGGGTCAAGATCTAAATCTTTAGAAATTAATCTGGAAGAGAATGTCTGATCATCCTGGGAAGTTTTGAAATCATTAAATAGGCATTGTGAAGCTAAACTCCAACTCCTTTCTGCAAACTGAGTAGAGTTCATCCATGAACGTCTGTTTCCTTTTCTTGTTCTACAGCAGTGGTTCTCAACCTGTGGGTCGGGACCCCATTTGGGATCGAACGACCATTTCACGGGGGTCGCCAAACAACGCAGTCCGCCATTTTTTCCCCTCTTTTCCTTAGCTGTGCTACTCCCTTTTATTCTATTCAAAAGCCAATAGGAATTGTCCAGGCTGTCTCTGCCCTTCTGAGCCCACCAAAAGTCCCATTCTGCAAACGGTGCTGCACCAGTTGAGTAGTCCTCGACTTACGATCAGTTGAGTAGTCCTCGACTTACGACTGGTTGGGGGTCGCGGCATTAAAAGGTTGAGAACCACTGTTCTACAGTATGCTGGGAGAAAAAGCTGCCCAAGGAAGTCAGCCAGGCACCTAGTTGATGTATCTAGAATCCAGCTTAGCATCTATCAAGCTGCAGATTCAATTCAACTAGATCTACTTCAACCACTTGTCAAGTTCATACCTATTCTTCATAACCTGAATAACAGAATAACAGAATTGGAAGGGACCTTGGAGGTCTTCTAGTCCAACCCACTGATCAAGTAGAAGACTCTATACCAGTGATGGCGAACCGAGTGCCCAAAAAGCAACCCAATATTCACTTATATATTGCCAGGTGCTGGGTGGGCATGGCCTGCTGGGTGGATGTGGCCCACTGGATGGGCGTGGCTACAGTGGTCATGGCACATGGGTGGGTGTGACCAGGGTGGGCATGGTCAGCTCAATGTTGCTCCTGGGGAGAGATGACTGGGGGCCAGGCAGGGTTGGGGGAGATCCAAGGAGTCTCTGGTGGGTGGGGTGGTGGGCAGGAGGCTCGTCTTATGGGGTGAGGTGAGGCAAGACAAGGCAGGTCAGGTGGGGTGCCATTGTCACAGGGCAAGATGAGATAGGGGCCGGGGCGGTTGCTGCCTGACACCATTGGCTCCCACACACAGAGGCCAGCGAGCGCATGGGTGCTGGGATGCATCTAGCCACAGGGGACCTTGGTGAATTAGCGGGCAGCTGGTTGAAGAAGACAGTTGCCATCTCCGGGGCATGGTGCATGTGCCCATAGAGAGGGTTCCGAGTGCCACCTCTGGCACATGTGCCATAGGTTCGCCATCACTGCCCTATACCATTCAAATGGTTGTCCAATCTGTCCATTCTAAGAGACTAATACTAAATAAAGAACTGGTGGGAATTCTTGCCCTTGTGGAAGCAAATGAAGCTCCAACAGATCAGGAAGGGGTCTTCTGTGAATATGCTTATGCTGGCATTTTTCATTCCAAAGCCATATTTTGGCTGGCAATGGAGAACTAAAATTATATGGTTCCAGCAGGATTGCACATTTTGTCTGCTACAGGTTTCATACATCTTCTACACTAGTCTTTCTCAAACTGGGCATTGTTAAGATGTGTGGATTTTAATTCCCAGAATTTCCTAGCCAGCAACTCAACACCTAATACATTTCCTGGCAATTGAAGTCCATATCTTAAAACATGTTCTGGAGGTTGAAAACTATAAATTTTAAAACATCTTCTAGGATTGAAGTCCACACATCTTAAAGCTGCCAAGTTTGAGAAATATTGTTTTAAGCTCTACCTAGTGCATGTAGCACATCAGCAATGGATTCTGCAGACTAATTTGCATGGAAAAGCCAACCTGGGGGAATCTTAGGATTTTACCTCCATACCCTGAAGCATAAAATGCTTCTGACTGTGTCTCCTCTGTATAAGCATTCAGGCTTGTTCTCCTAGATCTGTGCCAAAATATTTGCTCTCTTACCTCAACAATAGCATTCAAGGAAGTGTCAGCACCAATACTTAAGTCAGTGCCTGGGACGTTATTGCTAATAGTTGCAGGCAAGACACAAATTGGGATGCAAAATTCCTCATAGCGGGCCCGGGCTTCAGCTAGCATCAAGCAGCTCTCAAAGGCCTGAAGCAGTGGGACAAGAATGATAAGCAATATACTATGGCCAAATCTGGATACTTATTAAGTGTTCTACTGGTGACTGCTTGTGTGTGGCAATGAAAAGTTTGACCAGCCAGGGCTGCAAATCCCACAGAGCTACTGATTTAAGGAATGTGACTGGTGGACTTTATTGTCCTTACAGCAACTTAAATACGGGATGTTGGATTTGCATTGGTGTAGAAGAAGATCAGCAGAAGTTAGTAGAAAATTGATACAAGCAAGAGAGAGATTAAGGTACAGAGGACAAACCCCTGGTGATTAAAGTGCATCTTTGCATTCTAAACATCGGGAAGAAGTCAACAATTGGCTTCACTTATTTATACTTTGCTTTTCTCTTAAACTGGATTAGGATTAGACCAATAGCCCAAAGATGATGCCTGAAGCCAGATGCCTGTTGAACTATCCAATCATTCATGGTCACCACCAATCTTATCCCACACTACTTTAGCACCATTTACAAGGCCAAAGACCACAGAAAGAGATCCATCATTTCATTTTGAGCTTGGGAGGAGGCAGAACCATATCAAAGATAAGCATTTATGAGAAGATTCTCCTTTTACTTTTGGTCAGGCAATGAGAGGCTAGCTTCTCTTATCAAAGTCAACAGAAGATGTTTGAAAGCAAAAGAATAGCAGTATTTTGCATAATACATCCATCACTCATGTTTATTCTTTGCATTTATGTAAAGCTGAATAGTGCCTTCCATACCCACAGGGCTTTCACTGCATTTCAATCTGAACCTGAAGGGTTAATGTAAATTTTACATTAAGGAAATTCACATTTCCACTGCGATGATGAACTGATGATCTGCTAATTTTGTGCAGCAAATGCTTTCAGTCTTTTCTGATAGGAAGACTGTAATCTTTCTTATTTCTACATCACTCCTGGGGCTGTAGGGAGCAACCATTTCATCCTTCCTGAATAATAGTTACAACTGAATAATAGCAACAGCTAAGGCTATCTGTTTTGGCTGGTCTTAATAAAAGGTATTGCCAAATTAAAATATTGTTTTTCAAGATTGTTTGGGTTACTGTTTTATTTCTTTCACTCCACTCAAAACCCTTTACTCTGAAAAAAATAAAAAGGTTTTCTGTTCCCCTTTTACGTAGAAATATTAGTCGACCTTTTTAGCTTCTTGCAGAGAGCCAGTGACTATCATTCATCAGTCATGGCAGCTATGAGCAAGGGTCCTCAGGTTGAAGGAAAGAGCTCAGTGTTTTTATGTCTGCCACCCTGAAAACGATCTACATGCAGAAAGCCTAAAGAGAAAGAGCGACACAGCCACCTTCCTGAATGTATTCTTTTTCCACCCATAGGCAAGTGTTTAACATGCAGGGTCACTATTGAAATCTAAGGTGTTTTTGTGGAAAAAAAAATATTTAGCCACCCCAGGCAAAAGAAGAAGATAATTCAGTGCAGCTCATGTTTGTTAGGCTGGATTTCTGGGAAATGCCCGATTATGGACACGGGACAATGTTAGTGGGCTGATAGTTTTAGATTGCACAATATGTAGGTTTCTCTGCCTTGATATACAGGTAGTCCTCACTCAAAGTCCACTGGTTCATCTGCTATTTAAAATTAGGATGGTGATGAACAAGGGGAACTTATGATGAGTCCTCCCAGCTGCAGCCACTGCAGCATCCCCATGATTATGTGATTGTGATTGGTTCACAATTAAGATGTGGTACCATCCTGAGCTCACGGGATCACAATCTGCGACCCTCACTGCTGAATTCCAATAAGCAAAGTCAAAGGGCAACTGGGATGGCAGGAACTGCCATCATAAGTCAAGGTAGTCACATGACATCACATCATATGACCATATCTCTTAGCAACAAGAGTTCCTGGTCTTAATTACCATTTTAAGCAAAGACTTACCCAGATAGCTCTTCTTTCAGAAAAAGAGAAATCTGATATAAACAAGCACGCATGGCTAGTCTTCAGAAGGGAGAATTTTTAAAAGTTCATTGGAAACCCCCATATCATGGCACTTTTATGTACACCTATTTGTGGCAGCCCTTTTGTCACATATTAACACAAGTTCTTCCTTAAGTAGCAGTGTTCAGAATACCCATTGTCGCTTCTGAGTCATCTCTTAACTGAATGTGACAGCCTTACAATCCCTTTAAAGGACACACAGGGGTATTTTCAGGCTGTGTTATCTCGGCTGCATTATTTGTATCCCTTTGTGTCTGTCTATTGATCACCTGAGGTTTTTCCGTCCTTATATGGTATCATTAACATTGATGGTGTTACCTAGTTTGGATAATGAAAAGTCTACAAGAAAACAACCAAGTTCAGAGAGCACCATTTCAATCCTGAGCTACAAGTATTCTTTTTTATTAGTACCATATATGGTAGCCCTAGCCCTTAATCTTCAACACATAAACACAAACACACATGCAAACAACCTTATTTCCTTAGAAGTATAGAACTTATCCTGTTCACATACTTGCAAGCTATTAGCAGGAGATAGTTAACAGGTAGTCAAAAAGGAATCTGCTATCTTCCCAAGATAATCAGGTGCGATTTTAACCCACAAAAAAGAGAAATCTAACTGGATTTCTACTACAAATTATACAAGATACAATCCCTAGAGTACAACGTGACCATTAAACAGAACTTGACAATAAAGCAGGGGGGGGGGAAGTCTACAAATTCCATTGCTGGAATTTTATGGAAAATTATTTATATTCCCATGCATTTTCACCAATATTGGGGGAACTGCAAAGAATATAGATTTGATCCAATACATATTTGGATTTCCAAAATCTTTTTGACAAAATTCTTCTTCAGAAATATTTGATGAAGCTTACCAAAATGGAGAAGAAAATTTTAAAATTGTCTCACTTTGGAGGCTGTGGGGGGGGGGGAACGTATTTTCCTCTCATAGTTTAGAATTAGGGTAAACTATTGGCATAGGTACAGAAGATTGAAGATATTAAAAAGCTTTCATGCTAAATGTATTCATAAAATGTTAATGACTATTGGTTTGGACTGTTTATAAAGTTCTTAAAAGTTTGTTGATGATTGACTGTTGAGGCTGGGAGACACAATGGAAGCAAATGGTTTCATGTTAAGATACATAAGCACCTTATACTAATAGAAAATTATAGAAAAGGGTTCAAAGAACTAATCTGTCCATAAAATTTCTCTTAGACCTAAGTTTATACAATCTCATACACTCAGTTTGGTTTAGTGGTTAAGGCCCGAGGCTAAACCAGGAGATTGTGAATTCTAGTCCTGACGTACATCTTAAGGAAGGGGTGTCAAACTGCCGGCCCATAGGCTGGATGCATCATGATGAAACTGTGCCCACCCCATTCCGGCAATGGAAAAAAAGTTGTGATACGTCGCGACGCATCACATGGCATTGCAAGTTTGACACCCCTGCCTTAAAGTCTGCTGGATGAGTTAAGACCAATCACTAGGAGACTGTGAGTTCTAGTCCCACCTTAGACAAAAAAACCATCTGGATGATTTTGAGCCAGTCACCGGCTTTCTCAGCCCAAACCCCTCACACTGTTATTGTGGGAAAATAGGAGAAGTAAAGAGTATTAAATACATTTGCTGCCTTAAATTATTTATAAAAACAATAAAGGTAGGATAAAAATAAATACATAAAAGCCCTACATTATTATTTTTGATTACCAATGGTCAGAACTCTATATATAATATTTTACAGCAATTTACTGAAATACTATGGATTTTTCTCAATTTAGAAAAAACAACATACTGTGCACCCATTGGAAAACTTTAAAATGGCTTGAATAAGAAAGCTGGGTGAATGATTTTGTGTCAATCATTCTCTCTCAGTCCAAACAACCTCATAGGTTTGTTGATGTGGATGAAATAGGAAGAAGGAATGTTAGGCATATTTGTCGTCTTCAGTTATATATAAAACAGAGCAAAATAAAATAACAATAATATTAAACCTGGAAATATTGCAGTAGAATTTGGGGACAAAGTCATTCCTATGTTTTTCTTATTTCTTCTCCACATCAGCTCTTCATTTTGCAGGGCTGAGATTCTTCATTACACAAAATATACAAATTCACATGTGATGCAATTAAAGCATAAATTCAAATCTAAACCCCATGCCTCCGTGGTTGCAAATAAATAACAGAAGATCAATATGGGTGTCTTTCAAAAAGATTGCTTAGATATTGCTGGGATAACAAATTCAATCAACAAGCAAAACAAGAAACAAAATCAGTAATGATGCTTCCTTAGCATTGAATGTGATTTGTGATTTTAATATGGAGCAATTATTTTGGTAGAAGAGAATCGAGAACTACCATCTAGTCAGTAGAATTAAAGAAAATCCACAAGTGTAATTAGGATCAGTTAAGACAGACAAAAAAATTAGTAAAAGAGACAGTAAGAAGCATGCAGGAAATACTCATTTTTTTGTTTTCTATGAAAATGGCAGTGGAGAATCTTTTATATCAGAACTAGAATCAAGGTTCCCACAATCTTTACTATAATTAATAGGGGTAGGTTAAAAAAAAATCAAGATGGCAGCCACAGTAATACTTTAAGCCCCTCCCCTAAAAAAAGGCTTGGCTTTAATTGTGTGGTTATGGCCACCGTCTTCATTTTTTGACCCATCTTAAATTTTTTTATTCCTCTCCCTGTAAATACATTGTCAAGTGATTATTTAAACTGCTGTTAGGTGTTTTGCTTCAGGCAATGAAAAATATTTTTCTTGAGTTTTTGTTTGTCCTTGTCAGCTACAGCCTAAAGAAGCTTAAATCACAACCAATCTTTCAACCATCATGAGATTCTTAAAAAAAAAAAAATTGCACGTCATGTAAAATGCACTGTCTCTAAAATGAGAAGAATCAACAGAATCTGTGAGCTGAGGCTTAAAAGCCAAATGGAATTACTGTCTTCTAGAACATTTGTCTCCAAAGGTCTATGCTAAATCATGCCCAAACTATTCCATGCAAAGAATTGCTTGG